TATATTTCAGGGAAGGGGAAACAACCAATGAAATTGCGGCCATGTGATACAAGGAAAATGGTGGGAGTTCGAACACACAAAGCGACAGGTTGGTGACTTCGACCGCATGACCACCATCAATGCCAATGAGTAGTAATTTAGATGATAAGATATGCCAAAATGAATTCGTGTATTGAAAACACGATTTAATAGGCTGAGTCCAAGAAACAGGACGATAAATTCCATAATATGGACGTTCAACATTGCGTCCTTTGGTTGCTCATCTCCGCTAACCACCAACCCTCGAGACCGTCCTTATCTCTCAATACTGATTAGTGCGGTTACTTGATGGTTATACGACACAATATTACGGGTCTCTCACGGTCTCGGACTCAGTGGTCTGGAAAACAGATCACGGGCGGCCCAAATGTTAGATAGTCTTGATTCTGGATACAACGACAGGGCATTTTCTTGGACTAGAGTGAGACAGATGCATATACATACACAGATAAACACTTCACAGAAAATGATAATTACAAGCTGAGTAAAATTGTAATTGACTTCAGTAATGCTACGGGGGGTAGTGCAAAAGACGGGAAAATAAACACAATTCGTGATCTATGTGATGCTTGATCAAGACACGAACATAGCGGGAGACTGTTGAAAAATCAGACTGAAATATTGACCTCGGTGGATTTGTTGATACAAGTAGCATATACTGTCACAAGAGGTCAAAAAACTTCTAGAGAGTAGAGCTCACGACAATTGCGACAGACAATGAGTAACCAGGACCCGGGTATTCAACCCAGTGATCAAATCGATGTTCGGTGAATATGCTCACCGTCNACGGAACGCATGCTGCTTTCTTGGCTTTTGACTGACCGTCGTTCAGACGGCAGTGCTCACGCACAAACTTTACATCAAACTGCTCTTTGGAAGACTGAAGTCTTATATTGAACTTGTGAAAATAATAAAAAACTGTATATTATTATGTGAAGTGCCAGACTCCAACTTTGCTCCTGTAAGAGCCCATCAGTGGTATTTAGGCCTTTCTATACCATGTTATTCGTCAATACATTTATATTAACTGGAGTTTGAACTCCAAACTGATGGAATGTACTTGTTACCACTGTGCCAACTAATTCAAACCGAGGCTGCGAAGAAACAATCGGGTGTTACCTTCAAGGACAACCAGCCAGTTTCTCCTCTTAATGAAGTGAAGTAACATTATTATGCTTGTTCAATAACCCATTGATAATGCCAGCATTTAGACACTCGATGCAAACTCGTGTTTGTTTTGTTATTTGGATAGTGAACAGATGAATACCACGCAGCACAGTTTGTAAGCAATATGGCTGACCAGGAAAAACAAAAAGACAATAGGGAAACAAAAGTACGAACAAATTGAAAGAATCAAGTGTGATACCCAGTGATGGCTGTAGTTATCTGAAAGGAAGCGCCCCATGATTTTTCGGGGTAGGGAGAAGCAGAGTATACAAGAAATGCCCTCTCAAAAGTCAAATAAACTCACTGAAATCAAACCGCAACACAACAGTACGGTACAGTATCTGAGGAAACGAAGTAGCTGAACACTGTATACATATGTATGCTGTCATCACTTCTATGTTGACATAAATTGCACGAATTTAAAAAATACTTAGAAATGACGATACGAGGCCGAATAACAAATGAAACGAACGCGACACAATGTGCAAAGAGTTCCATTGGGAAAAACACGTACTTTCGTTCCAAAGCTTCCAGATACTCCTTCTTTTTTCGGCGACTCTCTTGCGCACTGATTTTGTTTTTGATTTTCCGCCTAACTTTCTTCAGATTACGTTCATCTTGTTTAGATAAAGGAAGGCGAGTGGGGATTGAGTAGCCCTCGGTGATAAGGGTCCGTTTCTCTTCGTCCGTAAGAATCAGTACACCCGATGGCGAAACCTGTGGTTCAGTGAACATGAAAACAGTTAAAAACTAGCAGTTAAGCAAATAAATAAAGGGTGAGTGAAAATATTTGTTTACAATTTCACATTCATCGGAGAAAAAAGAACCGAGAAAACATGGCCTGAGTCAACGAAGGACTCGTTATTTCATGAGATTCTTTGTCATTGGCAACATCTCACTGAATGCTACAGGAGGACGTATTTTAAGATGCATTCGTGGGGGGGGGGAGCAGGAACAGACATTATCATCGACTGAAAAGTTTCAGTTTTCAGTTTTTACAACCATTAACCATGCACTGTCGTGCGCCGGTTTTGGTTGCTGTCTTTTGGCCGCCCATTTGAACGAACAGTATGAGAAAGGCAGGAAGATGGAAGGCAGAGTCGAAGAGAAAATTGAGAACTCCAGTAAACTATGCCTGAAAAGAAATTGACAAGATGCAAGAACGCCACTGTTTAAGACATTCAGCCATATCACTCAGTGTCTCTAACCGTCGGTTACGATCATCCCGAGGTCCCAAGCCAGGGAGCCTAACGAAAACTATGTGACCGAGTCTCCTGGTTAGGGTTTTCATATCCTCGTGCCAAGTTTTAGCCTGACTACCCTTGGCCTTATTCTNCACTACCTGCCTCGGCAAACGTCGCTCGCCGTGGTAACCTACTTGGTGACATGCGCAACACATGCCCCAACCAACGTGATCTACGGAGGTCGACCACTTACTACAGTGGGCGACCACGGTTACCTAAAACTCTAGGCCTAACCTCAGCATTGCTTGTCCGGCTGCCCTACCGGATTCGTGAAATGCTGCGTGGACAGCAGTGTTCCAACGCCGACAGTATCTTTATCCTGTTTTCTTAATGGCCAAGTTTCTGCGCCGTATAGCAGAACTGGCCGAACTGCTGCAGCATACACTCGACCCTTGACAAATAGCCGGATGTTGCGACGGCGCCACAGATGTCTCAAGTTACCAAACGCCAACCGAGCCTTCTATATGCGAGCTGACACTTCATCCGTGATGCATCCACCGGGTGAGATGTAGCTGCCCGAATAACAAAACTTATACACTTGCTCCATTACTTCCCCAGTTAGAGTGAATCCAGGTGCTGGACCAATCCAGTCTTGTAGTAAGATGTTACACTATGAATGCGCAAAACGCACATCAAACATGGCTACGCAGGCGCTCCAGCCATCCAGAGAAACTTGCAACTTACCTGGGTCTTCACATAGCAGCGCAATGAAAAGAGCTGCTCGGAGTATGTGAATGAATCAATCATAAAAGATACTAAACTTGAATCCTTTTGTGAACGATTACTGAATGATGAGCAGCTATGGCAATAGAAAGCCTTGCCAATGGGGCCATAG